AGTGTCCGTCATTCGTACGTTAGATAGTTTAACCTAGAGATTTGCACACATCTTGTAAAATCCCCATGTTTGTCATCGTACTCGTTTTCGTCCCAAATCTCTCGTACCTCGCTACTCAATTTAACGTAGAGATGTCTGTTTTGGTCTGTCCATTTAACGGTCATCTGTGACACAATGTACTGGGTCGTATGTAGAGGCTATCTCCTTCGCAGTCTGCATGTCTCCCGCTATATATCCCCAGTCGTCTGTTTCATAATTTTGATACAATATGAAGCATGTAAATTTCTATGGCAGAGAACCTTATACAAAATACTTGCCAGATGTTCGACCAGGTGCCAGTCTGCTAGCAGACGGCAGTAGCAATTCCACTGACTTCGAGTTGCCATGCAATTCAAACACCCTGGATTAACGACATGCTATTGGCATCATCTTTTCCCTCCAAGAGACATTCTCCTACACAACAGTCATTCTTAAAAAAGCAGCAGTGACACCCATGGACGGTGGCTCCAGCAGTAGTGAAGGCAGTAGTATCATGAGTGACAACAACAAGATGCAGTTTTGTCAACTTGTTGCTGGCACTCCTGGTCTAGTCATGGGCGCAATACTTGACGAGACGACCAAAGTGGCAGCAGAACAGGAGACAAACCAACTGCTGGAGACCCAACAGGAGATTTGCAACATCTTTGATGAGACAAAAAGTGCCCTTAATCACTTCAACGACTTTCTTTGTATAGACTGGGGCCGCCTTCGGCCAGGAGAACCAGTACCACTTGAGAAAGATCTTCACCAATATGTTCAACTGGAAGAACTTACTGTTGAACTTTTTGGACGTTATGCAACCTATCTTGTTGAATGCAACAACAAGACAGAAGAGAAAAGAGGCAATGTGGTGCCGATTTCACTGAACTCTGCAATAGGATACTTCAGTGCTGTAAAGGTAGCCTATCTAGAGCAGCCTGTGATAAGAAACGCCACAACCCTTCCAAGTGTTTTTTGGAGAGAAACCTGGTCTAATCTAAATTGCAGAATGACTAATCGAGTGGTGGAACGTCATAAGACAACTGGAACGCCATTGGTGTCTCCTAAAGCCGCTGCCACCACTGATGACTGGAAGGCACTTGCCTGTGTTTGTGTGTGGAATGGTTCTCAAAAACTACTTGAATTCTGGGCTGTTTTTGTTGCTCTAGTCCACATGGCTGCTCAAGGTACGTTCGTCCTGTCCTTAGTATTCTCTGAATTGCTTTCACATCAATGAAACTTACACTTGCCCTGTCCAACCTGACCCGTTCAATCCAGTGAATGAAGTTGCCTTTCTCCAATTTCCTGATGCAAAAACTACACTAGTGAATGGCGGTGGCAATACAAAGAACAGGGTGGGCCTGTTCAGCAAATGTGAACAACTACAAGCAAGGAAGTGGTCAAGAGATGCACATATTTCCCCACATTGAACTTTGGCAACTTGATTTCTATTTCTCCCTTGCTGTCTTCTGGGTTACCTCAGATGGCACCTCTGATTATATGTACCCTACCTTTGGGGAACACGCAATTGTTAGAATAAAGCAAAATGTGCTCTATCGTGAGTGCCTTTAGCGCTCAGAACAAACTCTCTGCAATCTAAATTTGTAATCAACTGTACAACACTTTCACGACAATAGTTCTCCTGTGTCTAGGTATACTTTGAGTGAAATTGTTCCTATTTGATTAATAATTGGCTTGAATTGATGATTCAATCACAAAAGTGAGCTAATGGATTTTCCCTTGGAAAATCCCTTGTTTACAGAACTTGATTTGACTTCTACGACAATTCTTTGTTGAATGCAGTACTTTGGGACATCTTGCATTATTCCCTACTGCATCGTACACAACATCAATATTCCACTTGTATAGGATCTATTCCTTTTTGTGTGGATACAGATTGTCCAACAGACTTGCGTCCGGCATACTTGCGTCGAATCCCGACATCACGCACGATCAAAGTCCGGTCGCACGTGTCGAAAACCTTGTACTTGAATAGTTTCTTTTGGAACGTAAAAACTCATATTTTGTCATATCCCATCACACTCCTGCCATTGTGACAATCACCATTGGCAGCAATGGGACATGCTCTCATTCATTGTTTATTTTTGTTTTTGTTTTGTATTTTCATTTGAACATATAAATACTTGTCTGACCTATTCCTGTGGACCAAGAATTAGATCTCTGAACTTGCGAAACTTCTCACCTTGCAATGGCTTAGTCATAAAATCCGCAATCAAATTGTCAGTTGGACAGTATTTGATCTTAACATTTCCTTTCTCAACTTGATCTGTGATAAAGAAATAACAAATATTGATAGCTCGGCTTCTTTTGCCCGCGCTCTTGCGACCATTCTCTTCCAGTAGAATTGCGCTTTTGTTATCCTGATACAAGATGTTCTTCTCGATCGGATACCCTTGCCACTCCATGAACAACTTTGTCCATAGTATCATCGTGACAACATCGTCAACAGCAATCAGTTCCGCTTCTGTACTGCTTCTGCTGTTTAGTTTTTGTTTCTTCGACATCACTTGAGCTGCACCTCCTCCAAAGGACAGAGTGCCGC